GCCCAGCCCTGCCCCGGGGCGGCGGCTCCGGCTGTCCCGCCGGCCGCGGCCCCCGGGCCTCGCTCTCTCCCCGCCGCTCGGAGCGAGCCCCTCTGCGGGCGCTGCTGAGGCCCCGCTCGTGTCCCCGGCGCCGCGGCGCCCCGCGCCGTCCCCAGGCAGGGCCTGGCTGCTCCCTGGGAACTTTCCTCCACCGGGAATGGCTTCGCGGTAGCAAAGGGCCAAAGAAGTGCCAGTCGTGCCTGCTGCGTTCCCACCATGGCTCGTACCCCGCTGTGCTGCGAGCGCCCTGGGGTGCAGCTCCCTTCACAGAGGTSTGTTCAGAGAGGCCTTGCAGCAGCCTCGGGTTGCTAAACCCTTCAACTTTGCTCATGTGGCTGTTATTGAGCAACAGTGCAGGCTTATTGCTGGCGTGGTTTGGGTTAAACATGCCTCTTTTTAGAAGAATAGTGAGCAGAGGGTTTATTTATTTATTTTTAAATTGATAATCCTTGTTATGCAGTTTATATCACTGCCCTGCAAGCAGTTATACAGTGGCACCAGGGTGGTAATTTATTATGCTTATCATGTTCAAGGGAGCAGTGGCTTGCTGTATAACTCAGTCAAAACCTTGTTGTGTATGTCGCTGTGAGAAAGTTTGCTCTTGCCTGGAGTCTGTATAATCTGAATGCAGGATGAGAGCTGATTTAGACCAAGCGGATGGGTGGAATACAAAAGGCAGAAAGATAATTCAGATCATTGCAATATGCCGTGGTTGCAGTACGCCAGCTGCTTCTTGCAGGAAGTATGACAAATAGATTTTTAAGAGGGGTTACAGGAGCAGAAAGGACAGCAGCAAGTTGGTTTTCCAGTAAGTACAGCACAACCTCCCTCAGTGCCGTATTGGACACCTTCTTCTGTGTGCAAAGCAGCTCTGTAAGCATGATATGCAATAGTCATTGACTTTTTTATCTTTTTAAGTTGTATACTCCAGACATACAGTGCACACTTAATAAGCAACCAGCTAAACATGGTGAGTTACCACCTCCAATAAGACCCCAGGCAGGCATTTTTCAGGAGGGGAAGGGTCAAACTCTGCTGCTGCTTGGAATGACTCAGTGTTGCTGAGTTGCTGTTTTTTTTTTTTTTCCTTTAGGATTTTATACCTTTTTGTGCTTTTTTTTTTTCTTTTTTTTTCTTTTCTTTTTCCCCTTATTGAATACCTGTGTTACTAATGATCCATGTCTCAAAACTCCCCTTAACTCTCTGCAGTTTTACCTTCCTTATCTTGCGTGGTGCTACCCTGCAGAATTTCTTGGAACTTAGCAGTTTGCTGAGAAGTTAGAGCCAAGGTCATGCAGCTGTGCTGTATCTAGCCTAGCCTCGGGTGCCTGGAAGAGAGCCAGCTGGAGCCCCAGGAGAAGGAGGGCAGGCTTACGGGAAGAGGACTTCACTGCAGAAGGAGGGTGCCTGAGAAGGTCTGAGTRGCAGGAGCACTTAGGTGTGGAATGTTTCATGGTGCATTAAGTGGGTTGGACTCCGAAGAGCTTGAAAAAGGAAAACCCAAAGGGAAACTTTGTGACATGAGAGCTAGGCAGTGCAGGTAGGGATGTGAAAAGGAGGTGCCACGAAATGAAAAAGCTGAGCTGGGAAAGTGATCTGTGCAGATGGGGGTGGGAGCACGTGACACTTGTCTAGGTGGACTTGACAGGCAGAAGCTTAAGTTGATTGCGTGAAGCTGTTGGGTTGAGTGCTGTTTTAACTGGTCAGGTAGAAATGAAAGGCAGCTAGAGTGAAGTGTGAAAAGGTAACTTGCATATTTTTTTTCTTTTATATCATTGCAGAAGCAGGTGTAGTAGGAGGCAGTCTGTTGCTGTATGTGTGCTCAGAAGCTTCTTTTCCTGTTTTTCGAAGAGGAAAAGTAGGTCACTGGTGGTATAACTAGATTGTACAAGGTATAAGTGTATATACTTCCACTGCTTTGGGCAGAATGGAAGGTAAAACCCATGTACTGGGACTGTGCTAGAGATGTTGCTTGATACTGTGGAAAAAGTAGTAGGATTCATGAGGATTTTGTCACCAATACATCCTCTGAATGAATTTTGTTGTTATATACTACATAAAACACTTGGAAATTCTACCAGCTTGGCCCAAGGCCCATGTGCTCTTAGTGTGAACCTTTCCCCTTGTGCTGGTGGGCTCTGCACCTTACAGTTGAGCAGGAAGATGCAGTCTGAGCAGTTTCCATTCCAATGGATAGTACACAAGTAAGGCTGTAAAGAATGAATGAAATTTACAAGTAGCATAACTGTTTCTACTGTTACGTATCTGTTTAGTGTTTGTATATATTATAATCTTGATGTTGTGCACAGACTGAAGATAATGTGTGAGAGCAGCAGGCAGAGTTARTGATGAAAGGAAACTTGTGAATGATATGTTAGAAAAGAGCAAGGGTGGCCTTGCGGTACAAAGTGCAAGGAGCTGCATTTAGAAGTGCTGTTGTCAACAGGAGGGGCTGAAAGTTCAGGAAGGTAAGGTTTGGCAGACCATGAGCTGCAAAAGGGCTTCTTGCAGGGAAGTAAGATTAGGAATTTGGTCATGATGCTATCTAAAGCTTTGACAAAACTAAGCCCATTGCTCTCCTCCTCTCTCTCTTCACCGCTGTTGTGCTAGGCTGGTGTTAAGTCATCCCTGGGCAGTTTAACACTGGAGCTCGGAGTGTGTCAAGATGCCGTTCAGGCTTTGAAGTTSCTAAGATCATGTGCAGAGTATGGATCGTTTCCTGCAATGCAGGAGTGCTGGAAGCTGATTTAACTGCACGGAGCTAGTGTCGTCTCTGCACATTCGCCACATGGCTTAAGTGCAAGTTTTCCTGGAATTCAGGAGGTATATGACTGCTTGAATTACAGTTCTACATTTCAGAAGCCATAGGTTAACTTTAAGCCAAAGTTTGTTCCCCTCTTCACAGTTTAGGCAATCTGTGGGTAAAACTTGCTTTCTCACTTGTGAACTTTGCTTTGTCACTCAGGAACAAACTCCCTTGTTCTTCCTGTTGGGGGCTGTGTGTGTGTGTGTGTGTGTGTGGCGCAGGGAGTGGTTTTGAGCCCCCTTGCCTCCTCACTGCTAGTTAAACATCAGTCCTAAAAAATAAATGTTTTCCACTGGTGGTTTGGGTAGTGGCAGGGGCTGTAATGCTCCAGAGATTTATGTGATATAGCTGTGACAAATTAACATCTGTGCAATAACATCCTAACATCAGATTTTGCATGTTGTGCAGACCAGATCTTTGAAGGAACAACTGTCCTTGAAAGGTGTGGCGAAGGGATGGTGATAGTGGAGACACAGGTCATTAGAAAACAGCAAATATGAGGCATATACCTGGAAAATGGCAGAATAACTCGGAAGTCCCTGCATTTGGTATCTGGGAAACATTTACTAGCATTGAAATTTGTGTAAACAAGTAAATCCAGTCTTGTCAGCACCTGTGAGTCAAGAGAGACTGGATTCTAAAAGCGCAAGTGCCTCTCTTAGTCTTTATCAATATTGATTGAGGTCCAGGGCTTGTTTAATGGCATTGATGGATTAATGTGTATCACGTAATCTGCACTCCCCTTTTTAGATACGGAATAAATGGTTTGTTAAGTAAATAAATAATGGAAAACACCATTTTATTCCATCTTTTTTCTTTTCCTCTTTATTTAGCCAAGCGATGTAGTTTTTGAGGAGTCTGCTCTGGAGGGTGTGGGCAGGAAGACTACATAGTTATGTTCCAGTGTATAGGGGTTTGTGTATGTGCATCTGTAAACCTAAAATCAGTCAGGTTTGTTGGCCTGCAAAATTAAATGCAAAAGCGTTGCTTACCTTTACAGGCTGCATGCATACAAGAAATACAGAAATCTAAGATTTTGGATCCTTATGTTGTTGTAGGTTAGATGTGCATTAATCTTAGGGTTCTTTGCAATAATTTTTTTTTTTTTTTAAGAAGAAGACTTGCACAGTGATAAGACTGTAAGGGAGCTGAGGGACAGTGTGGGCAAGTCCCAGTTCTGTATGTGCGTTGATGTGCGAGTAAACTTTAGTTTCAAAATGCCTCTTTTGTTGTTTCAGTGGTTATTATAACCCAAAGTTAATGGGGGTRTGTTCTTCTGCATGTCACATGTTTGACTTGAATCTCTGCTATGACTTTTGGAATGGAATGGGAGGGAGGAGGATGTTTTGATGTGCTCATCCCTTTGCTCCTGACCGGATCAGCTGATCCTGGGGTTGATAATAGATAAAGCAAGAGTTCTGCCTGGCTTTTCATCTGCCTGCCTTTGAGCTGTGAGAGCTGTGCTCTGTGCAGGTTTCTCTGATTCCCAGATGAAGCATCGTGACCCTTCTGAAGCACAGCAAGCTACTAGCAGTTTTAAAAATGCCCATGCCATCTCTTCCCTTAGCCCTGAGGGATGATTCTGTACGGTCAGGGACTGTGGCAGGATTCCTTTAGCAGTATGTGCTAATGGAGCTGACCTATTGGCAGAATAAATTATCTGTTTGAACCTCAGGATGTGGAAAATACACTGAAGCTTTTTAACTATGTTGCATTTAGAGGATAATTGTTAACTATGATCATTTTCATTATTTTCACAAAATGTCAAAAACTTGACACCTCTACAACTTCTATAAATATTTTATGTATTTAACTCGTGTTTTCTATAACTGCCCAAGAGGTCTCTGCTAGTGAAATATGGTTTTATGCTTCTGTCTTCATGACATCTAGACAATGTAATTGCATAAAGTGAAAAGAAAAAAGCCATTTGTGCAGGCCCGATCATCACAGGTCATGAATCCAGCACAGCCTAATAAAGCATTGGCATGAAAGGAGATTTTACTTTTCTCTCCTTGTTCTACCATATGGTCATGTGTAGAATAGCAAATTATAAGCAAGAACATTATTGAATCGTTGACTCTAGCAGCCTTCTTTGTACATACTTCATGCAGCTCAGGTTGAGAGCAGCTGAATCCAGTTCACAGTTTGACAGAGATGAGAATTTTCACCTGGTCACATAGTCCCTGTGATGCATGCTCGGCATCAAGTGTTTGTTTCATGGAGGATTTTGACTTTTCTATAAGTGGAGGACAAATATTAAAACATACTGTAGTCTCTCAGAAGTTCAATGTCTAGGCAGAGTGTATCGATCCCTTCCTGTACATACAAACTTGATGCGATGACATTGACCTAGAAGCCCTGTGGGTTAGATTATTAGCTTTGACATTGGGATTCATTAGCAGCAATCCAATTAGAAACACACTGATGGATGTGTTATAGATGGGTATGCTGTAGGTTCAGAAACTCACCATTCTGGTTGCAAAAGGGTTTTCTACAATCCTGGGCAAAATTTGTCTTACTAAGCTAAAAGTGATGTTGTTCTTGATTTGTTTTTTTAATAGATTTTTCTCTCTTTCCAATTAAATTTCTAATTAATGTCTTATTTCCCATGACAGTTTAAAAATAACTTGAAGTCTGTAAGAGGGAAGCTGTCAAGATGATTGACTAATGTATTCTTTTTTTGTGCGTTAGACAGAAACCTTTAGTTATGTAAGGCTATGGTGGGGTAGTTCCTAAGCTTTCTTCTGACAGTGTTTTTTGGGCCATCCCCGTTTCCACCGCAGTAGGCACAAACCAGCCCTTTTTCTACTCTGCTCTGCAAACTCCCTTTGTGGCTGGAAGCGAGGACTCCTCTTTTCTCTAAATTCCAGCCTCTTGGGTGTGAGATCTGCTGTCTCCATCCCACCTTTGCCTGTGGTCCACACTTGCATTTTGCAGCCAAAATAGAGCTTTTTGCAGTAGCATGAATTCTCCAGCCCCAGTTTCCAATTCAGATTTATGGCTCAAGCGGTGGTGTTTGGAACAACCTGTGGCAGACTCAGGGGGCCTGGGAATTCCAGCTGGGTGCACAGTTGCAGTCTGAGGCAATCAAAACCTGTCTGCAGTGGGAGACATGTGGCACTGGCATTCCCAGCTCACTGGAAGCTGCTCTTCAAGAGGAAGCTGGATCCATGCTGTGATGGTGGGAAGGGTTCAGGCAGTCTGCAGTGAAGGCTAAATCCAAGGCTGTCTCCATGGCTGCCAGCCTGCAAAGCTCTGGGGTCTTGGAGGCAGCGTGCAGGGCACTTACCTCGCTATGCATAATTTAGTATGGCTGAGTGTAGCTGCCACAAGTGCCTGCCCTTGTTTTTGTGGAGCGTGACTTAAGTGAGCCCTGCGCTTGCAACGTGCTGCTGCCACGTGATTGCCTTGGGAGTTCAGGGAGACAGGCTGGGGGCTCAGGGACACGAGCCTAGTCCAGGCCTATCAGAGGGGCTGACATTCCTTTTGGCTAGGTAGCTGTGACAGTGCTGCGGTGACAGAGCAGGTCAGCGCACTGCTGAAGCAATGGTTCTTGCCAGACAGTGCTGTGATTGTACAGAATAAAATAAAATTCATGTTTACAAGGTGAGGTTGGTGATGTGTGTGGCAGCACTGGGCTCAAAGTGTGGTGAAATGGATACATCCAACTTGCAATGACTTGGCTGTAGGAGTGTGCCGGCAATACAGCCTTGACTGATGCTTTTAGTTTTATTAACAGCTCATTTTATAATAACAATGCTTTCTAGTTTTGTTTTAATAGGATAAACAGTGAGTGTGAAGTGACCGATTACTTAATTATAGTGAACCCCCGTTTGTCTTTCTAGAAAACTTCCTTTGCTGTGAAATGGATTGGGGAACTGATCTGATTAAAAAAGAAAAATCCTACAAACTGTCTTGTATTCTTTTATCCTCCCACCAAAATGAAACCACACAGGATGTTTTTGAAGCTGGGGCACTTCTCTAGTTTGGTTTGCAGAGCAGCTGGCACAGCTGAGGGAAGCTAAGGTGCAAAGGTTGGCATGAACAAGGGTGCCTGGAGAGCTTTAAAGAAGCCTTGTAGCCAGATGCTTCCTACTGCTGGATGTGGCCTCGCAATGCAAAGGCAGAGTTGGAAGTGCTTTGGTAGGCAGCAAAGGAACAGACTTTTCTTCAATCAGTTTCAAGAGCTCTTTGTCCCAAGATACCATTGAGGCTTGACCAGCATCAAGAAGGACTGGGAAGCCATTTGCTAATAAGCATTACACTTCATACAGTGTGATTTAAATACATATATATATATATATGATGTAAACTGTCTTGCTGAGTTRTGAATTGGCTTCTCACAGAGCAGAATTAAGACGAAAGTTTACCTGTAAGCAACTTATTCCATATCTGCCTGTGACTTGACTTCCGTATCTTTCTTTGAAATAGAGTATAGGACTAGATGGGATATTTGGTCTGATTTCTTATCTGTTACAGTTACTAAAGCCCCTGCTTCCAACTCGAGAGACTTATTAATATCTCAGTGTAATGCAGAAAACTCATGGTTGTGACATTCTAGATATGCCTTGAAGAAGAGTTTAAGTTTTATTAGGGGGTTTTGTTTGTTTGTTCTTACCTTTAGGGTATACAGCATGGCCCAAACAGAGAAGAAGGGTGGACTGCTCMGGAAATCTTCAGCCTCCAAGAAGCCACTGAAAGAGAAGGTTGTGTTGATGTACGATGAGATTTTCACGGTAAGAACTCGAGCACCTCTTGTTTCACAGTTTTTMATGTTTTAATTTGTCCTGAAGCCTCTGCAAGGTAGATCCTTCTTGCAAGATAAGGGCCACATCTACTCTATCTACTGTCTACCTTAGGCTCTCCTACTATCGTGGTGAGCTCTGTATTCTCTCTCCTGTGTTTTCACTGTGTCCTGTTGTCTTCCAGGACCATTTCTGATCTAAAGGAGGTCATGGCTTTGAAGTTAGTGATTCAGTGGGAGGTAGAAGATCTATGCAGGAAAAGGAGGAAAGGGTCCTGGAGTGTTGTGAGAGCTGCTTTGATACTTGTTTAACTTGGGGAGGAAAACTGTTTCTTGCAGAAAATGTACAGAGGCATCCCAGTCAAATAGCAAATAGAAGCAGCTTTCTCCTTCTAGAAATCAGTACAAATAATATTCTGTACTATCAGATCCCTTGTGTCATCTAATGAAGAGATTCTGCTTCAGAGCCACTTGTGGTAATTTTTTTATTTTTAACTTTTTGTATGAATGGTTTCTTCTCTTATTTTCTCATGGCCAATGCTCTCTCTTTTAGACAGAAGACCCCAGTAAATGCAACCCCAGGTTTTGGGAAGAGCTGTTTCTCATGAAGGTAACAAAAAAATTGAATGTCCTCTGACTTTCTGCTGCTGTGAAATGGCAGACTGTCAATGCAACAGCCTGGTTTTCTAAGCTGTCATCAGTTGTGTAATATGCATGAACTGCTTCTTTACCTGACAGGTTAATTTGGAATAYCTAGAAGGCAAGCTAGAGGCCCTGGATGGGGAAGAGTTAATGAAGATAAAAGATAACATCAACTGCTTGTTCCAGCACTGCATCCAGGCCCTGGGTGAGGAGCACCCGATCAGAGTGGTCAATGCACTACAGGTACCAGACCTGAGATACAGGGAATATGCTTTTCTGCCTCTTGTGAGGCAATGTGTTTGCTGATTATATCAAGTATCTTGTGCTTATTTCTTTAGTTGTGATGAGAAGTGTACTGAGTAGTTGTTACTCATTTTGTGTGGAGGTTAMAAATACAGCCTCTTCAGTCTCTGAGAAACAGTAACTTATCTCAAAATTTAAGAGGACCTGCTGTTGCAGTTTGAAGTGGATGGGGATGAGGGGTGAGATGGGCTTATTCACATTAAAGGTATTTCTTTTGGGGCTCGAGATTAGTCTGTATACCTTTGTCTATCTTTTATTCTCTTTCATTTTTTTTTTTTCTCACCTTTAGCCTCTTTTTGAATTGCCTTGTTCAAAAATAAAAGACAATTCTGGTAAAGTTAGTCTAAAGCTTATACATGAGACTATCCTTACTGAACCGCTTCCTAATGAGAAGCTGTGGGGAGTTGTCACCGGGAATTAGAAGCCTTTTTCCTGCAGGGTGTTCCTTGCCAAAGGTAGGCTGTCCTGTGTGTTGCACAGGAGATGTTGCTAGTTCCCAAGCTGATTCTTGCAGTTTGGCGAATGCACGTGCTGCAGCTTCTGTCAGCTGTAGGAATGCAACATATGGGTTTCRGATCAGGGAAGTCGTCTGTAGGAGACATCAGAGAGCAGCAAGCTGCAAAAAGCTGTCATGAAATGGAATATTTACACCCRTGTTGACATGCAGTCTTGCTTGATTTTTTTCTTTAATTATTTTTAAAGGATAGTATCAATATTAAACATTGTAATTACAATGGCAGCGATAGTCCAGCCCAGCTGTGAATTCCCAAGCTTGAATTCAGGCTGGCTGCAAAAATTGGGCCAGGGCTTCAGTCCAGAATCCTGCTGTGTGAATGTAAAGAGAAACCAGGTCACATCTTGAATGTGGTTTGGGAAGGGGTTCTCTTAATCACACTGTGTTCATTGTGAAAGGTGATCCTGAAGCCCAAATGTATGTAAATGCTTTTTTTTTCCCTGCCCTGAGAAAGCCCATACCAATTAAATGTTTCTTTAGCCCTACGTACTTTCTCTGACAGTAACCAAAAACAAAGGATGCCTACTGTGTCCTTTTGATAATATTACAGAGATCTGGTCATTCTTTGTGGTCTGACAGTCTCTGGCTTTGTCTTCTACAATTACTTTTTTTCCCTCATAGATGAATTCAAGATGGAATCTTAAACTGCAAAGGTTGTATTCCTCCCAACTCCCCTCTTTACAGACTTTAAAGATGCCTGATGACACAACTCGCCACAGCTGCTTCTCCTGTTGGACAGCAGATGTCTCATCTGCCTCCCAAATATTCTCGAATATCTGTTGGAAGCATTGTATGCTCTGTTATTATATATTGTCAGTGAGCTCCAAGAATTCAGTGTGAACCATAATCTAAAGCATGCAACAAGAAATACAAAGGAGGTTAGGTTTAGGGAAAAGGTCTTCAAAATCCCTTAAGTGATTAGAAAACTTAAGCTGCTTCAATAGCCTTGAAGTCATTTTTTCTTGCTTCTTGGCAGAGATCATTTTTTTGGGTTAGGCTTAGTGTGGCGTGGTGGTAACCAAACAAAGACTACATGCTGTCTCTAGCAAAAGCATTTACTGCGTGGACAGGTATGGTGTGAGAACTTACATTATATGGATGTGTCTTTGGCATGTTTAGGATCAGGAGTTAATATGGGAAGTTCTAACGTATGTCCATCTGTGTAGATGTGGCTGTTATTGAACACTGCTTCTTCCTTGCAGTTTCCTAATCAATATTTTTGTCCTTAAAGCCGCAATTAGGCATTTTCAGAGGTTATGTTCCTTACTAATATGGTCTGAAGAGAGTAGTACAAACTGAAACCACACAGAAGCCATGAGATTGCCTTACTTCACAGTGCTGTGAGATGAAGGGATGAATAAACAGGAAAAAAATATGGATAATATATCTTTCTCCAATCTGAGTCATCAGCATCCAAGATGGTGCTTAGAAACAGTGGAAATGGTAGAATTGAGACAAATGTATGGCTTACAAGCAGCTGGTATTCATTCAAGTATCTATATTTTGTTAGTCCTCTGAGGGTATTTCAGGGCAGCTTTTGCCATAGAGTAGTAAGTGTGGCTTTATCTTGTGCTTTTTTTTTTCTCTTTTGCAGACTTTGTGTGCATTGATTCGGGGTGTCCATCAGAAGAACAAATCCACCTCGGGGTTTGACATAATCAACATGCTTGTGGGTTTTGATAAGGCAGAGCTCTGCATGAAGGTGAGGCCTTGAGGATGTAAAGAAACACTCTGCTGCACACCAGCCTTTTTGCAGGGGCACTTATTTGTAGACAACTGTGTCTATTGAGTTGTGCCCATCTGGGGACTCYCCAGTTATTAAATGTAACTGTCCGGAAGTCTCTCACCTGTGAGTGGCTCAAAGGATGCTTTGGATCTCCATGTTTGTTAAAATAACAGGGTGCTTGCTTTTCCTTTTTGTGGTGTTGCTTCATTACGGTTAAGAAATCCTAAGGCAGTGAAAGACAGGCACAGACCATTAGTCCCCACTATTGAGCCTCATGTCTTGCGTTTCATTTTTAGCCCATAGCCATTGTGCTCCGATTTCTATCGGTGCATATACTGATGTAAACTTATTTGGTCCTTGTCGGGTGCTGAGTTTGGGAAGGGGGAAAAAAAAAAAGAAACTGGAGCTAGAGCTGAATTCCTGTTTTCTTTAAAAAAAAAAAAAAAAAAAAAAGTATTTACTGAGCTATTAGAAGCAGAGTTTTCCTTTAAGAATTGATGGGTTATCTGTCTTTTAGCTATTAATATGGAAAGCAATTATTTATGAATATTAAATGTCTATACAATATTTATTCTGAGTAATAACAAATATATGTTATTAAACTGGAGGTATATACATCAAGACCAAAATATCTTGATGTATATAGGAAAATTGGGAAATCTTGGGAGAAAAAGAAGAAAGCACATAAAATGCTGCCTTGCAAACAAAGCAAGACCGTATTTGTAGGGCTTATAAGTACAAAGTGAATAAAATTTGTTATATGTTTACAAAATCCTGTTGTCTTTGGGGAAAACTCTTTGAAATAATTGTGGAGGTCTGTGAATAGTCATTAAAATGTAGTTAATACAACACAGCATTGAGAACCAATGATGTGMATATAGCCTGTGGGGTATATAGCAGTTGTAATGGATTAATTACTGATTCTGGAACAAATGTGGCTTTACTTGAAATATTCAATAAAAGAAACCTTTTTTTGAAGAGTTCAAATGCAGGAATACCAAATAAATATTACTGTTAAATGATGTATTTGTTCTCCTGCAGAATTTGATGGAGAGTTTGGACTCGCTGCTCTGTGCAGAAGGTTCTGAAAGTCTCAAAAGTTTGTGTCTGAAGCTACTTCTCTGCTTGGTGACAGTAAGTAAACCAGATGTATAATAACTTTAAATGAACCACATTGTGAGGCATCTAACTACCTCAAAATTTAAGCAGTATTATGAAGCTGGAGTTTAGCACTGGAGTTTAGCTGGAGTTTAACGCTGTAGTGTGAAACTTAAGAGGGTGAAACTATGGATGAGAGTAAGGATCGGCATAGAGTATGGCCTAGTTGCCCTAATCATGGTACTGCTAAAAGCTGTCAGACTTTCTGCCACAAAGACTTTGTTATGAGACAGATGCCAGCAGGAGCAAAGGGAGACAGATGTAGGAGGAAGCATCAATTATCTTCACCTGTTTTGTTAAGAGATACTAGAGAAGTCTCAGATATATATGTATATATACATCTATCTATAGAGAGATGTATATATATTTGTATATATAGATATAAAGAGGGAAGCAGAGGACAGAGGTTGAAGAAAGAGTAAGTTTGGAGTAGCCAATGGTGGCGAGAATATGAAGACTGAAGAAATTGGAGCAAATGGCCACTCAGCATCTCTTGGAATAAGAGATAATAGACCACAAGGGAGGTTTTCACCACCTGGTTGGACTGGAAGGGGGCTCGATGGAGCATCTGGGCCCTGGGCCCTGCTTTTTCATTCCTGCCTGTAGGGTAGCAGTCGCCTTCAGTGGCTGATACTACTGTSATGTGGCTGTGTGAAATACCCATCTACAGAGGAAATGGAAGCTCTTTGTATGTGGATCATGCTTTTTGCCAGGGAAGATGTGGGAGGCAGGACAGATTTCCTTTACTTCGTGTCTAGCTCTAGTGCTGTTCACACCCTTGACTTGCTGACTAAGTGTGAGATTTTGGATGAATGTGTCCATCTGGTAGCATAACTCTTCAGTTCCTAGTGTGTCCCAGAGGTAGCTATAGCATCGTGGAGGGTTTGGATCACACTTTAAACTTTGTGTTTGCATTCAGGTGACAGATAACATTAGCCAGAACACCATCCTGGAGTATGTGATGATTAACAGCATCTTTGAAGCTATTTTACAGGTAAGAGCTTTCCTTCTAGGAGAGGAAGTCTTTCTCCATAGTGTGAACTTCCAGTCACGTGCTTGGTTTTTAACACTTCCAATGCMATGTAGTTTGCTGGTGCTGCATGTGTCTTCCATCCATAGCTCACTCGTAGGGTTGTGGGCTTCCCCCCTGCACTACCAGCCTCCCACGTCTGCTGTTTTCAGTCACTGAGTCTTTAAACTATTTTCAACTGAGACATTTGTGCTTGGATAAAAACCTAGTAGGTCCATGGGCTAATTTTGCAGAGGATTTTTTTATCAGAGGAACTTATTTCTAAAGTCAGCCAGGTTATGCTGAAGGTATTTGCTGTTCTCTGATAAAGTTACACTTTTCAGAAGTGGAATTAGGTTTGGGGAAACCCACAAAAACTGCACAGAATGTTGATAGTGTACTGACGTACGTCCAATACTGTTGAGAAATATATTTGCCCTTTATACACAGACAACCTTTATACATTCTCTCTGCTAAAATAAGTTTCCTTTTGTGGAAATGGAGATTTTCTTGAAAGCACTGACACTCTTAAAATCTTGAATATTGTCTTTCATTTATAACCTGATTTGCTCTTATTTACACATTTCACAGCCACACGTGGTGTGAGAGCCACTGCTGGCTTCCCAAAGCCAACCTGAGCAGAACAATGTGTTTCTTTATTCCAGATTCTGTCCAGCCCACTTAGTCGCAGGGAACATGGCTATGATGCTGTTGTCCTCCTTGCCTTGTTGGTCAACTACAGAAAGTATGAGGTAAGTGTTCAGGTAGCAGGAAAAATCCCTTCTATTTTGTTAGAAACCTAGAGGGCAGTATGAAATAAGTCCTACAATATTTTTTTTTTTAACAATACAAGCTATAACATATATCAGAATACCAGTATATGGTTGGTATAGGTTTGTATTCCTTTAGTGGAAGCATTTTGGGGAAGGTCCTCTTGGAAGGGGTGCTATTGTGCAGAACCTGCATGCATCCCTGTGTGTGTGAGTGTGGCAGTTAGAGTCTCCAAAGTAAAAAGAATTGTCAGTCATAACCTTGCTGTCAAACTGAAAGGCTGTGGATCCCCAAAGAGATAATGAAGATGTGACCAAAAATGGAACTGAARCATCATAGCCAGTATATCAAGAAAAGTCTCTCTCTATTTGATTCCTCTTCAGGAACTTTGTTCATTTCTATTTTTCTGAATGGGCCGCATTGCGGTGCATTTCCATTTTTTCCTGCTTTTCATCACCTTGAAAAAGAAATGTGAATGTCAAGAAGGACCATAGTTTTGACTTTCCTTTGTGSAGGACACGATATTTTAATGATCTGTTTTCATTTTTTTTTTTTTTTTGCAATTGGCAAAATTTTAATGAATTTAATTGGTAGGTAGAAAAAGAAAGTTCTGGAATGCATTTTTTCCACTAGAATTACCAGAGAAAAAGAAAACAAACAAAAACCCTACCTACTTTTAAAGCTGTGCTTGTTTGAATCACATGGGTTATGTATGGATTATGAATAGAGCTATAGAATAGGCCAAGGCAGGGACTAGATTAAATGGTTGAAATAACTCTTTTCCTTATCCACATTGATGATAGCCCTTTAACTGAAGCATTCAGCTCAGAAGAGAGAGCTCTCCAGTCTTGTGCCAGGGCTGTGGATCCCTGTGTACTGTATTTTATCTCATTAGTAAGTTAGAGGTCTTTGAGTACATAAGACTTGTCCCCTGCTTTCTGCAGTAGCTTTTTAACTAAGTGCAGTAGAGCATTTAGTTGGTGTTAGGTGCTCTGGAAAGCRCTGTCCTAGATGTCTTCAAACTGGGCACCCAAAGAGAATTAACTCTTCATGCTGGTGTTTTTCTTAGGGTAAAAAAGAAAAAAAAAAATCCAACCTGTCTGGCAAAGAAAATTTTAGCTTGCATAATGTGATTTTTTTCCCCCTTGTTTTATATTTGGTTGCTAAATCATGCTTCCAATTGCTTAAGAAAATCTAATTAGGCTGAAAATTCATTAGCTGACTGTATTTTTTTTTTCTGTTTTTAATGAGAGTACTGATGTGTTTTGCATGAACATGTTCTTTCATATTTTGGGCATGTGAATTTTCTAGTCTCCTTTCAAGTTCCCTGAGGAACAGCTGTCCATGATTTCATTACCAGTGTAGTGACCTGAAACTTCAGTTTGCTCATTAACTTCTGTTAGAGGAGTAAAAGTGATATATACACATCTTTAGATGGAACCTTTAAAAGGATGTCATTGAAACCTAATAAATTTAAAAAATTGTTCTTGGTGTATACTTAAGTGTTCAGCTGTCTCTTATAGTTTTCTCTGAAATGTGGAAAAGGATTATAAAATATTTCTACCTTRGTACTGTGAAAAGGAAGCTCAAAACAGCAACTAAATGATTGATAACATCAGGAAAATGATGAAGCTGACTGTACACAGAAGGCTGCCAGACAGATAAAATATTATGGRCAAAGCATTTATTTTCTCATTTTCTTGCCATTCTAAGCTGTCTTTTAGAATGGCAAGTTAAAATATAAAATAAGAGCAGTGACTTTTAATTAAATATGTTCCTTGATAACATTGCAGCGGGAAGAAAAACTCTTTAGTTCGTGTTCAACCTGCTGGAATTGTATATCGTCGCTTGCTAAGGAGGACTGAAAGAAAGTAGTGAAAATGTGTGATTTTTTTTTTTTTCCCTTTTGTGTACTGGTATCTGGCTGCATATAGTGTAGCTGACAGACCTTCATGCCTACCTCTGCACTCCCTCTCCTCTGCCTTGTCAACAGCATGTGCTGGAGAAGCTGTTAATCGTTGCGGGGGTCAGAAAATTCATCTTTCTATTTATYTTTTATATAAAGTTTCAAAATCCTGTCAGAGCCTAAAATATTTTAAAGCCATCCCTTTAACAAAACAAGCAACAAAAACAAGGCAATGATTCAAGCCCTAATTCCCTACAAGGTGGCCTGCCTGCAGAGGAGATGGTATTAGCAGGCATGGCAGTGAAACTGCTGAAGTCCCCAGAGAGTGTTCAGGAAAAAGCCTTCTGAGGGGTAATCAGCCCAGATTCTGGGCTCTAGATAATTTAAACAACTAAATAGGTATTATATATGCTTAGCTTGTGGGCTTTTTTTTTTTTTTTCTTTTTCTGGCAAGAACCTGTTTCCCATAAGTTGGAGCTTGAGGCACACTCGCTGATCTCCCTCTCTCTCCTAGATTTCTGTGAATTTGCATAGCATGCTTACTCCACGGGATTGCTTTTCTGATGTGATTTTAATTGGCCTGTGTTTTAGAATTTTTCTGGCAATGATCTCCCAGGTTCCCCTCATTTCTGTGCAACTATTGGTGGCTAATGGTGGGTAATTCGTGGAGCACGTCTTGAATATTCCCAGGTTCCAAGGATCTGTTTGTTCCTCATCTCTGAAGAGGAAGCCTGTGTTTGTTCTCTGGTTATGATCAGAGAAGACCTTTGTTATTTGAAGAGCTGAAAATCATTTTTTATTATTATTATATATGGAGGCAGATGGGGGCAGAAGCTATTTTTAACCTTCTGTTACCACTTGATTAAACCCTCTGACTTATCAAGATGCTTTGCAGCAGCTTTTGGGGCAGTTACATGTTGGTGAGCACTGCGGAGTGGCAGGTATTTATTTAGACTTCCAAACCCTTTGCTGTGATTCCCAGTAAGAGGAAATTGAGAAACTCTGAAGTAACAGGTTCAGAATTAGGGAAGCAGTTGGGGAATATTGTGTGAGCTTAGCAGAGGTGCTTGTGCAGCTTGCAGGGTGCTCAGGTTCGTTGTATATGTGCAGACTGAGAGCAAGCTGAACTTGCTTGTGTTGGGACAGGCTTGCAGTGTGCTGAAAGGCACTGGAAACTGCCATGTCCTGTGTAGAGCAGTATTGTGTGGTGATTGCCTTGCTCTGGTTCACCTGTCTGCTCTCTAAGGAGGTAGAGAAGCACATAGGAGACATGAAAAGGCTTAAGATAGGAATTAATGAACAGATTTCAGCAGATTTGGACAAGGCATTTGAAAGAGGAGAAGGCAGATGTCTGCAGCAAGGCTGGCTGGCTTCTGGCCCTGTTCACCACGYGTGGAAACCTTGCTGCCAGGAGGACGGAGACATGTAGCACGCGGARACATGTAGCACACATCTGGGAGAGTCAAGGGCAACAGGAGCACAGGAATAGCTCAGAGACTGGAGGTTCTGCTGAACCTTTTCCTCCTCTCTTCTTTGATGGGCCTGAGCCTATGGCAGGTTGGCCAGTGGTCAGTACATGTAGTGTGGAGAGGCCTGCAGGATATCTTCCTGAGATCAACTAGACATCCTTGGTTATGTGGCTGTACAGAGATGGGCATGTAGGTACTCAGTGGGAATCTCTTCTTGAGCCTCAGGTCAAAGTCTTCATGCTCTTCATGCACAGGTGGGCTCTGCAAGAACCTTCTGCCCTTTGCTGAGAGGGCGGGCAGCAYCGCCGTGGTGCAGCAGGCAGGCTGACACGCTGCTGAGGCTTTGCTCTGTTCTGATTGCTCTCTGAGTCAAAGGCAAAACTTGATTCTCCTGAAGCACCGAGGAGTTGGGAGGGTGTTGTTTTCTAATCAGTCTTATTTTTAGCCTGCCCTCAGGCCTTGGACAAGACAGATAGCTTAGTAACTTGCGAAGCGAGGCTGCATCTGATGTGTGCTTTGAGTGCTCTGTTCCTCCCATCTGCAGTGCAAATGGAGCCTTTTCTTCTCTGTTCTGGTTCCAAATCCACTTTGTTAGTTTTGCACCGACACTCATGAACAATGAAAACAAATATTTATGGTGAATTCAAAATACTTTCTAAATTGATAGGGCTTATCTTCATAGATGAACTCTGTGTTCTGTTAGGCTGAGTTCAAGAAAATTGTATTCTCCAAAGAGTTGTAGGTCTCAGTGGCACAAACTATTTAGTGTTGAGCTCTAACTCTGCAGCAGATGAGTCTGTGACTATCATGTTTTCCTGAGTCCTTTCTTTGAGCAATCTTTGCAAGGTGTTGCACAAAAGATATATGAGAACAGGAATGCTCAGTCCTGGCTGCACCACTTGTGCTTGCTGCTTTGGACTGTATGTCACAGATAAGGGGCTTGGAGGATGGTAGCTTCRCTTTCAAGATGTCAGTCAAGCCAGCAAAGGAGAAGGCAACTCCCTGTCCTCTCAGTTTRAATCAGGAGCCTGCTTAGTTGAGCAGGTTAGTAGCCTTTTTGCTCCCTTGGTGAATTTTATTGAATTGTGAGCATTCTGTTTTGTGGAATGGGAGGGAAATTCCTCCTGGTAAATTTAAAAGATAAGTTTTGGGGYATTTCTCTTTTTTTACTTCTTAAAGGCTGAACTTAAACCCACTTTTTTTTTTTTTCATTGTTTTTTCCCCTGATCAGTCAGTGAATCCCTACATTGTGAAGCTTTCCATTGTCGATGATGAGCCCACGCTTAATGTGAGTATTTGACCTATTCCTCTCTGTTGCTGGGGATGTTCTTCCATGAGTGCTGGCCTTCTTGGCGTCTGATGAGAAGATTTGGAAATAGTGCTGTAACGGAGACCTCTAAAATACTGTATTTCTTCCCTCACAGAACTCTGGAGATGAGTAAAGTACCTCACGATTTGAATAGTTTGATCACCAGTTAAATGGTGGGAATGGTGGAAAAGCTGGGTAACAAGAAATGTGCTAATGTTGGTATTTAATACATTGATGAACTCTCTATACATTACTCACTGTTGCTTTCTGAAGAGACACAAATTACCTCCTTAGGCAAAAGCAATCTCTTATCCAATGTTGTCATCTGTCTTTATCAATTGATAAGGAAATTCTTGAAGGTTGGTGGAAGTGTGTACCAAAACCAAGAGTCCTACAATCTTGGGTTGTAGTCACTCCCCAAGTTTTATTTTCCAGCCTGGGCAGGAGCGGGCAGYACGCCTGGAGCTATGAGAGATCCCAGCTTGCAAGTTCTTCTTTGTATATGGCATAAAAGCAATAGCATCCATGCCAATTAAAGGGCGAGAATAATCATTCTGAATTAAATTAGCTTGAAGGAGAAGGATGAGCATCAGCTGTGGGTTGCGAAAGGCCATTTGCAAGAACTGAAGAGACTGATAATGTTTGCGGTCTTTGTAGGCAACCTTTAGATATGTTTCCACCAGCTTTCCTCCAAGGATCTTGCCACTTTCCTGGGGCTTCTTGACTGAGTGAGCCWTGTCTGGAGGCCCCAGGAGAATAAACTTTTTCCTCCATAACTTTGTGCAGTTAAGTACCCAGCTTTCTTTTTTGGTGCCTTGTTTTTGAACAATGATGCTTTGGTGGTATCACAGTGTGCCTTAAGTTTAAACTGCTGCAGTGGAAATTCTCTGTAGCGGGGCAGAGTATCTTGGCTTGTAAAACACTACTGTGCTCAATATTTGTTTTCCTGTAGTGATACTTGTAACATAAAGATTTTTTTTTAACTTTCAGGGAATGGGGCTTGTTATTGCCCAGGCTTTATCAGAGTACAACAGGTAAGGCCTAACCATCATTCAATTCTTAGCTGTGTGGTGGTTTCTGTCCCTTTCAATAAACTTTTGTTTTGTTTGTTAAAGCACTTTAAAACACTTGCTTATCACTTAACAGCCCTGATGAGCCTGGAGAGGAAGGGAATAGTCTTATGCCTTGGGGTACTTCAGCTCTGTTGTTGCTGTTATTGCCAACTGTGCCAGCTGTGCTAACGTAATTCAGAAAAGATCTTGTGTAGGTTTCTAGTGTATGTTTTTGACATCATTGATTCTACCTCTATGTGAACCTTGCGTGAAATCACATGGTCCCCGGTGAAAAGATGACAAATGATTTGCTGAGTACTTTTCTGATGGAAAATTGCTTTACCTGAGCCTAATCTAAAACAAATAGTGTATCCGGGGCTATCCAGATGCCAGGTTGAATCAGGCTGGGGGTGATCTGGGGAATGGATACTCTTCCAAATRGTAAATAGCAGCATCTGCTTCTGAAAAGAAAAAGGCATCGATAGCAATAACATGTTTCCATCCCTTGTTTCTAACACTTTCTGAAGTGCTTTCTTCTAAGGMAAACTTGCTTCTTTTGTGCAGCTATTTATTAAGTAGTTTTGCTTAGGTAATCAACCGTTTGTCAGGAAGAAGATTTCCAAAGTATCTGGAAAAAAAGTTTTAATTCCTTTTGAGTGCCTGCTACTATTATACTGCTTGCAAGATGATGCAAGCCTGCGAATTGCAGATTTAACATATTAGTGTCAAACAGGAAAACCTCCACCCACCCAACTCCCTTCATTTCTGACAAAAGCTGTCTCAGGTCATTGCCACTTTTACCTGTTTTAGCAGGCAGGAACAGACCCCTGACAGCAGCTCAGTTCATAGAGCCATCTTCCWGCCTGCCTTTTCCTGGGTAGGGGAGCACAGGATCAGGCGGGAATAGAGCTGTGATGATGTGCATTGGTGTTTGGGAGCTCGAGTGGCCYGCTGTCCATAGGATGGGCAGCTGTGGTTTAGTTTGTAGCTGCTGCTGATTGAAGTAAAATTGTTCTGTTACTTTTTGTTACTGATATGGGCTATTTGTACTTTGTTGCCACTTCTGGACAAAAAGTTCCTAAGTTATTTAATCCTCTCTTTTAACTTAAGTTGAGGTGGCGTTCAGTGTTTCATCTTCCAGCATCCCCACTTCATCTCTACACARTTTTCATGTATTTAGCACCCTTTGTATCTCTTTGCAAGATCTTGGAAAGGGGGATATGAATGTTGSAGTTCTTTCCAGCCTGTATCCTAATCAGGCAAGGCTGTCTTCTGGGGGTTTAGATAAAATAAACCTAGTTCTATTTCTAACCTGGAGCCTCATTGTTTTGTTTGTTTATTTGTTTTCCGTTTGTTCAGGCAGTACAAAGATAAGGAAGAGGAGCACCAGAGTGGCTTTTTCTCAGCTATAACCAATATGGTAAGTAAGAAAACAATATTTTTCTTTCTTTTTTTTTTTTTTCTCAAGTAGGAACCTCATACAAGTTTCCCTTTCTGGAAGTAAGGGAAGCTCAGTGCTGACAATCATCAGTCAAGAGTCACATGGATAAAACTGTTATTGCTTGAGGACAATCAGATGGGAAGTCATCTCTACTGGTCTTCATAAAATCTGACACTAATCCAGATTGGGAATCAGATTTCAGTCTTGGTTTTCTATTATTTGACATGTGATTCATTGATCTGTGACAGTGTGAAARAAATGTGTTTATAGATGGTCATCCCACTTGGTCTATAGAATTTTCCATCTTTGTTTTCTAGTCTTAGAAATTTGCAAGTATGCCTTGGATAAGAACATCTCTYGCAGAGCACTTTGGGCTTAGTTATATCCACACATGCTCCTTGGCCTAAAAGGCTTCACAAATTCCTCCTGTGCAATACTCTCTCTTTCCGTAGGTGGGCAGCATGTTCATAGCAGATGCCGATGAGAAGATCTCAGTCCAGTAAGTGCACCTATGTTAGCTGTACAGTGAACAGTGACTTACCACACTGATAAACATGATCTGCTCCATCATGGATATGTTTTAATGCAGCAAAACAAGCTGAGGCACTGGTTCTGGCCTTGTACCTAAAACAGTAGCACATCTCTGCAAACAGCGTTTTTCTTAGTTAAGTGAGAAGGGTGAAACAGAGTGAATCMCAGCTGAATTGTTTGCAGCAAAGTGTATAAAATTGTGATTTGTATTAGACATTTTTAACGTATGATAGAAAGGCTGCAAGTGGCTGGTAAGAAGCGATAGTTCATGCACTCTTGTCCCCAAGAAGGTATCTTGTAAATTAAGAGGGCAAATGATAAATGTGACTGAGCTGTCAGTGGGAACCTTTGCTCCCAGAAAGTACAGACATATATGGACAGTAATTCAGCATGAGGGGAAAAAAGAGTATAGATAAGCTGTAGGAACTTATTTTTTTGGATTGCAAAGTACTGTTAATAATGAAAAAAAAAATGGTTTGCAGAGATGCTTAAAAATCTAACTGCTGAGTAGGTCATGCTTCTTTTGAGAGCAAAACTTTTCAGATTCACGTATGTCAGTAGCCCATAACTACATATGCTTTTGTCTATATGCCTTTTACAGAACAAATGAAGCAATCCTTCTGGCTCTCTATGAAGCTGTTCACTTAAACAGAAACTTCATCACAGTCTTAGCACAGGTGAGTTTCAGAGCAGTTTTTGCCCTTTTCATGGTAGATGTCTTCAAGATCAAAAATCATCAACAGAACTGGTGAAAGGGTATTGATTCATTTCCATTTTTTCTCTGGATGCTTATTCATGGCTGTAGATGGGCATGAAAGATCAAAAGCAACTAGTGTCTGGATTTTATTATGCATTAAAAATTGCTTTCTGCTTTGCCAGTAGAAATATTTTTGCAGGCACAGCTCATGTTAGAGACATTTTTCCCCSTGTATGGGAAGAGCTGCCTGGAATTTCTCTGTGCCCTGATATTGCCTTTAGGTAGGATGGAGGAGGCTGCAATGGAGAAGGGTAAGGCTGCCGCAGCTGTCAGAGCAGTTCATGCCATGCTAAATTAGGGTATAGGGAAAAACTGATCAAGTTCCAAGCTGGATGTTTTGTCCTGTCTGGAAGCACACAAATTGCATATTCTTGCTTGTTTGGAAGGCATTGGCTTAGGGACTGATTGGCAAATGGTGGTGGTTATTGCAAATGTGATTTAGTATCCAAACTTCCGTGGTTAGCCTGACCCCTCTCACTTGGGAGACCAACAGAGTACTCCTACTTGTGCTTTTTCTCGTGAGGAAAGAGCAGTGTCAGTGTTCTGAGAAACAGAGCCTGCTCCGTGCATCTGGTTGTGAAGCTCTGAATGCTTCTCTGGACACTGCATGAGTTTTCAAAGTTGGTGATTGCTGGGAGACAGGTGATAATGAGTGTCAGATCTGGTGGTTGTAGACTGCTGGAAAGGGTAGCTAGATGGGCTTAGAAAACATTCAGGTGTAGGCTGTTAATTTTGGTTTATAAGCGCTGCTGGTAGCCTGTGAGAAAAATGATATCAAAGCAGTTATCACTTTTCCCCAGCGACTTCAGCTGCTCAGAGTGGAGCCATACATAATTGACTTGACACTTGGTATCGCTGAGGGAGTAAAGGCCTTTGTGGGGAGGCAGAAAGAACTACCAAGAGTAGCTGTGTTGGAGGAAGGCTGAGCTGAAGAAAGTTTCTGTTCTGTTGCTCTAGTTGTCTGGCTCCCCTTTGCCCAGGTTATTCATTCCTACCACTTGTGGGATTTCTTCTTGGGCCTTTACATGGTCAAGATCTCCCTGAGAGAGGAAAGCAGGTAGGAAATAAACAGCTGGCCTAAGGCTCCTTAAAGTAATAAAAGGATGAAACCATTATTTGTGAAGGTGGTAGTTGGAGTGGCCGCTGTTCAGTGGGCTTGACTGGAGTACAGGTCTCATGAGGGACTGCATGTAATCTATCCAAGAAGAGCACTYGAGGGGACAAGGTGGGTTGTGCTGTCCTTCGAGAAAACTTCCTAAAAGCTGAGAAGTGCCCGTGTCTAAGGCTGTGTCCATTCCTGGAGGAGCAACTGTGCAACTCTCTACTTGCTGGTCTGTGGCGGGCTGAAAGAGCAGGAATACAGTTGCACTGATGTCCARAGCATTAAGGTTTCTATATTTACCAGCTTATTGGTCCATGATTTTTGCTGCTAGGTGGCACTCCTCTCTCAGCTGACAGCTGATGTTTAAGTAAGAGGAAGGTAAACACCTCCTAAAACCTGAGGAGTGAACATCTTCGTATTCAAGATTTTCAGTGGAAAACTATGTTTCAAAGTTGTTACCTTGACTGATTTAAAATTGTCTTCAAATTGTAATATGTGTGTCTTTGTGTCCTAAAAAATATAGGCATTTGTTGTTGTTCCTAGAACGAGCAAAATTCAACGATARTGTTTAAGTATCTGCTTGTGTTCTAGAAAATCCCTTGGAGCAAATATAAAATCAGTTCTCCATCCCTTTTATTTTGAAGCTGTGATGATATATCAAGGCACTTGGAGGATGATACATTTATGTAAAAGTTGCCCTATGAAATGGACACTCTGCTTGGCAGCCAGACTTAAAATAGCATGGCAGATTGCCTGCAGTCTCACCAGGCCAGATAGATCCGGAAGCTTACAAAGAGTAAAGTCAAAGCAGTAATTAGGCAGAAATGGGGAGAGCAACCAACTGATGGAAGCGGAGAGGATCGATAATGATAGCGTTATTTATGCTATGCACTTTTTTCCTGTGGTGCCTGGGCTTCCCAGCGAGGCAGGGAAGTAATAAATTGCCATCATCTTTAAATATGAGCAGGTGGAGGCTGCGGAGAGGAAGGAACATTTGCTTTTAAAAAGAGAAATAAAAAGATCATGYAGCAAGAGTGAGTCTGAAAGAGCACGAATAGTGATCCATATGTCTAGCACAGAGAAAAGCTATTGACCTGTGTGTGGGCATTTGTGTCTTCTGCTAGAGCCATCCTGAGATGGGGCTGATGACAGCACCGACCAGCCCAGTTCCAACAACACCCGTCACTCCGCTTGGAACCACCCCGCCTTCCTCAGATGGTGAGAAATGTGATGTTCTCCTGGGGCAAACATTTACAAGTAAAACTAGCAAAGCATTTCCTCAAGATGGCAACTAATGCAGTCCGTCTGGAGCAGATGTAACCTGGTTTTCTCTTCCTGGAGAGGCTGCCTTATTAAATGTGAACAAAAGATACTCTCTTACTCTTTAGCTGTTTAAAAGATGAATTGTGTAGTTCCTCTTTTTCTTGGTATGCTGGTCAATGAAATTATGTTGATGTTCCTTCTGAAAACAGTAGTRTCCCAGTGTCCTTTTGAAGGTGCACTGCACCTGTTTTATGTAGGCTTTTACTTAAGACAACTGATATTAGAGATATTCCTGTTCTTTACCTGGGAGTTTATGTTGTTGAAACAGATATGCAAAGACTCACAGTGGATCCATGTTTGTCATTAGTACACTTGTCCTTTGCTTTGAATTAATTGGGATTTAAATCTAATTTAGGGATTGAGGTGCTCTTCCCTTTCTCTGCCTCCTTCTCTGACAGGCATTGTAAGGGGTTGCTTGCACCAAACTCTTTCTTGTAAATGACATATGCAAAATGTCCACATAAATACACATTGCGGTCATCTAAAATAAAACATTGTTTTTGTTTTAGGTAAGCTAGGTTTAGTCCAAATTCAGAGAAGAAATCAGAAAGTTGCTGTCTTGTACCTCAGTGACATCATCTGGATTTGGAGAAAGTGTTTAGCAAAAAGAATGGAGTCGGACTGAATAGAGCAGAGTTTGGAAATATTTCTGGGAAGAAACAGCCTGGGTTACCCAGTGGTGTCTGATTTTCAGGTCATTTGATATCCTGGTTTAAAAATGATCCTCCTTGTAGATGAATTCTATCTGGTTTCCATGGATATCAAAAGCACTCATTTAAAAAAAGAAAAAGTCTCCACTCTCCCTACATATATTCCATCCAGCGTAGAGACGGGCATTCTGCGGGCTTCTGTTCAAAGTGTTCATTGCAAAGGCAGCCACCCACACACTTTATTATACACCTGGCAGAAGTTGTTYCCTCCGTTTACAGCTGTGCACATGTGCGTGCTCCCTCCCTTCCCATCCCCTTTAATGTGTCCAAACCCAAAAGCAAAACAAAAGCCATTCTGCTTTGAGCAGAGGCAGTGATCTCGTGAAGCTTGGCTTGAGGCACCACGCTGCTGGTAAGGTTATTAAGTTGAAGGAGCTGATCCTAGTGTGTAGCAGTTGCACTGGGAAGCATTCTTTATTTCTGTTTGCTGTCACCTTGTTGATTCCTCCTTTCTGATTTTTATTTTTTCCTGAGGACCTTGTTTTTCTGTTAAATTGAGTGATGCTTCTTCAGTACTGCTGTTGTTTGAAATGTACGTCAGAATCTTCCTCATTCTCTAAGGTCTTGCAATTCAGCTGTAAAATTTGCCTATGGCTGAGAGCTAGCAAGAAGCATTTCAGCTTTGGAATGAAAAGATTGCTTTCTTCTTTTCCTGCATTTAAAAAAGAATGTAGTTGAGCTATTTTCGAGTTATAGGAACATGTAAAAATCCATCTATGGGTTTCAGGCATTCTTTTGTGTTGATTTGGTTTAAAAATGTGTTCATGCTCTGATTTGAAACTTGCTGGTAGCTTATAATGTGAATTATGGCCTTTTAAAGTTTCAAAATGCATTAAAAATGAGCTCTATAGCATGAACCGGGAGGAACAGTGATGTGTTATTCAGAGTGATCTTTTTCTCTTTTTTTATTTTTAAGTGGAAACTGTTGATCCATACTATGTAAATCAAGTGTGTCTGTCATCATATATCTAAATGTCAGTTTGCTTTCTGTTGTTAAATATTCACTCGGTGCATGCATTGTTACAGCTCCAGGAGGACCCACTAGGGATATAAATACACATTTTCAGACTTCTAGCTAAATCTCTGCGCTATTCATAATATTGGGGGGGTGATGAGAAGCTTCCAGTGTCGCTGCACAGACTTGGCCAACAGGCCGGGCATGTTAGCAGAAACCCCAGAGCTTCAGTGGTGAATGCACCCAAACAGTCCACGCAGCCTTGAGCAGCTGAAAGCTCTGTTATTTCTTTGGTGTAATTCAAGCAGCTATGTTTGAAGCAGATTGATTATYAACAAAACAATAAAGAAAGCTTCCCTAAAAAGAACTGAATTAACTCCAGTAGTAACTTCTCAGATTAATCATTTCTCCAGTCGTTTCTCCTTTGACAGATACTTAAGTACAGATGTACTTAAAGTTTCTCTATTAGTCCCCCTCTGTTGGCTTCACTCTTCATTTTTTCATGCAGAACTGTATCAAATACTTAGTCAAGTSTTGCTTGACTAGATTTATGTCTCTTCTTCTACGTGTTGTTTGTTTTTCTGCCTCTAATTTGTCTTCTCAAAAGAGATAGCAGATTTATCTGGCAGGCTGCACCTCTGGTAAATGCATGATGCATTTCTTCCCATTTGCTCTTTTATTCTTGTCTGTATTTCCATACAGCYTTACTTAATGGAAGGGCTGAGAATGGTCCTTGTGGGCAGCTTAGGCTCAATCCTTAGTAGAGACAGGGTTTACACCATGGGGATTTGACAGCTCCTRACTTCAGTGCTTGAGAGTGTGTCTGTGGGCAGAAAAGGCCTTGCACAATTAGCTGAGTGAATGAAATAACTCCTTGTAAAGTCTAAAGTAGATGATGTCCAATGTTAGGGTATCAAAACTGTGACTGTTGGTGGAGAGCAGTGTATCCTGAAGAAATGCCAGGGAGCTGCTGGCCTGCTGCACAAATGGAAAGCTTACATTTGCTCCCTGCTGTCACTTCACTAGCACAAGCTCTTACTACTTCTTGATCTGTAAAGCTGCTGTTCCTGATTCTCTATTTTGGGAAACATTGGGGAACTTCTTTTTTTTTTTTTTATTAAAAAAAAAAAAAAAAAAAAAAAAGAGAGAGAGAATCTTTATAGGCTGATCTACAGCAAGCCACTCTGGTCATGGATGAATCATCACATGCCTGTCTTCTGTGGTGCTTCCGCAAGAAGGGAGGAGGGAATTAATGTGCACCTCCTGAAACTGAAATTCCAGTTACTCTTCAGGGTCTTTGGAGATGTTTCTTTCTACACAGAGAATGATGTTCACATTAGCCTTGTTGCTTATAGGARTTGGACATGGATTTGTGAGAATCCGTTGTGCTTCCTAGGTTGGGAATGTTGATAACTGTTAAACAGCAGGCTGATCTCCTGGGGCTGGAGGGCAGGGAAAGGAGGTTATCCCTTTGCTAGATACCTGAAACAGAAAAAAAGGGTCTTTGAGTAGAGTGATACCAATCTTTAAGACAAAATCTTTGCTGGTTGGTCATGAAGGAGGAACAACTCACGTGACCCTACAGATAAGTTAATTCTAGCCCACCCTTGTGAATCGGTGACTTGATTCTTTGTATACTTATCTCATGTATTTGTGGAGGGTAAACGTGTCTTATCTGCTTTGTTCCAGTTATAAGTTCTGCAGAGCTGCCTTTGGATGCTGATGTACAAACCAGCAACCTGCTGATAACCTTCTTGAAGTACAGCTCAATTGTGATGCAGGACACAAAAGGTAACAACTCTGATGTAGCTGTAGATGCAGCAGGCAAGCTGGGACACACAGGAACACATCTAGTGACTTCAGAAATAAAAGCAATGGAGTTCCTCTCAGAGGACTCAAAATTCCAACTTTTGACAATGAGAAAACACTTCATTTTCATAAATAACAATTATATGGGACTGGAAGAGACTCAATGCCAGCAGGAAAGATATAAGTGCAGAAAGAATGTAGTAACAGTAGTACATAATAACCAAGGGAGCCATAGTGGGTCCTTATGCAGGAAGTGGGAGTGAAACTGATACCAAATGCTCGATCAGAAGAGGAAACTCGAGTACCAGAGAACTGTATTTTTAAGAACACTTAGAGGCTGTAATGCCTGTAATGCAGAATTCAATGTAGGAGGAAGTGTTTCCATTTTCCTTCAATAGTAGCTGGTTAAACAGACATCTCTTTAATAAAGATGGTGGCTGTGATTTGCATTGTATTGGCAGCAATTTGCTTGATCTATGCTTTGTGTTTCTCCCAGTAGCTCTGTTGGGGGAGGCTGTCTGTTTTCAGCTTGCTGGAGTTGGAGCTCGATGATGAATTGCTTCATCATTTGCTCCAGGTTTCCAGTGTGCTGTTTTGCCCACTGRTTGCATATGCAGGACCACAGTGTGACAATAAGGGACCTTTGTACCATACTTCAGCCTGTTACCAATATAGGCTGTTATAAGTTAGATGTAACTGAAAAGAAATAGGCCAAGAGCAGAAGAGCTATGTTGCACCATTTGTTGAACCTTATGGATACTTGGCATTACATAACACAGCAGGCACCTGATCATCTTATTCCTGTCCAGTATGCAAAATAGTTGCTAACAAGTTGAATAAAACATCTTTTTTGACTCATCTATTCTAGGACTTAACTAACTTCTTTTTTAAACCTGCGATTTAAATTAATTACTATTTATCTTCTGCAAGATAGATATGGAAACAGATTTTTTTTTGACAGCCTTTATGTATTTGAAGTCTGCTTTCATGTTTCTTCTTGCCTTTGTCTTTAAGCTCAAAATCTCGAGCTTTGCTCAGTCATTTCTTACAGATCTGTGCCCGTGAGGAAGGTTTACCAGCTCTCTAATTATTCTTGTTTGCTTTTTTTTAAAGGGTATTTCTTGTTGATCCAAGTTTCTGAGATGGGGCTTAATTTTGGTTTTTTTAGTGTGAGTTATTTAACTCCTGCACTTATTAGACTCTGTAATTTGGAAAGTGCAGATAGTTTGTTGGGAACTGCCAAACCAGATCAGCTTCATGGGGAATAACCAGTACAGAGCTCTCTTGCTTAAACAAGGCAACTAGTGATGAGCTTGTGCTGGAATGAGGCAGGAGCTGCTGCTTCTTTCTTGATTCTAGTTTATATAGGAAATATATGTAGTTGATGCAATTTTAATCTTCTTGCCTTCATGTTGCTCCATGTATCAATGAGTTTCATAGATCAATCACTTGAAAAGTGTATTGAACACTTCAATTTAATGCCTTCCAAATTGTTGTTTCGTAATTTTAGTGGATGTATTAATTTGTTTATATATTGACTCTAGATAGGGAYTTTGTCTAATATATTTTTTTCTCTTGTACAAGAGAAATTAAGTGATACCAATACAACCATAGGAGCAAGAGAACAAATAACTTGAACTTTCAACTTGTCTTAAGACACAAAGAGTAATGCTTAGAGGAGGGATTGGTTTGCTGCACATCCAAGGCTAGACAGTTGTTTTAGTCATGTCCCAGAGMATGTAATTTAATAGGTTGTCTTCTGATAGATCGTCCTCCCTAATTTGTCTTTGTGCCAGTCAGAGGGAGCTGTCTTGGGAGGAAAACAAAAATCTTGCCTGTGTTTTCTCCATGGACCATTTCTCCGGGAAATGATCTGCTTTGCCCTCAGTGACAGCTGCTGTGGCTGCCCAAGGCCCACTCTGCRTCGCCTGTAGGTCTGCTGCAAGTGGCATGTTGTCCACAACGGCTATTGGCTGAAGGCAAAGAATTTAATGGGRAACAGGAGCCTTTATAGCACAATCCCCAGGGAGAAATGGTAGCRGCGCCTAAAATATATACAGGGAGGGCTTACAGTAGGAAGATAACAAGGCTCCAGTGTATCAGAGTTCTCTGAGGCCATCTTCTCCTTTGCTGGAGTAGAAAACTTTTCCTTAAAAACACTTTGAGGTAAGGAGACATAGGAGAGATTTAACTCTTCCACTCCAAAATAGCTTCCTCTTACTCTGTATAGCAAGATGAAATCCACACACTTCAGAAGATAGTTGTTAGTAAATCTGTTTCTTAGCACTCTAGAGCAGAAAACAAAAGAAGCATCAAACTAGACAGAACTGCTAGCYAAGCCGATTCTATCAATTTCTGTATATTATTTTATGCACACTAACAAGCAAAGTGTTTATAAAGGTGACCTACCAAGATGTAAGAAGCTAGGCTGATGCTGTTTTTTTTCTTCCTTTTTTTTTTTTTAACTGTATATGAAAGGTTTTTTTCTTTTTCAGGTTTTCCTTTCCTCCAAGCTTGACTCTTAAGCCATATGTCTGGGATGTCATGTCTAGTCTTTACAGGTTCTGAAGTCGTTGAAGGTCTCATGAATTTGCAGTTTTGAGCTGTCTCAGTTGGTTTTTAAGAACAAATATCCCTAAATCAAGTTTGCTTYATCCTACCTAATGTGAGAGTGTAGRGAARCTGGAGCCAGACTTTTCTTATGTTTACAGTAAAGGAAGTAAATGACAAAATGCAACAAGGGAAATTCCAATTAGATCTAAGGAAAATAATTATTCTCAATGTGATAGTCATGCAGTGGAAAAGGAGCCCACTGTTGCTGTGGTATCTCTGGAAATGCTAAAAACTAGACTGGACAAGTCATGGTACCACTTTATCAGAGCCTGGACCAGAGGTCTCCTCCTTCCCAAGTTATGCTATTGCTTTATGCCTGCCAGCTATGTATGTCAGCATAAAATACGGAGTAGGGAGTTTTAAAAATAGTGATAAAACATTTTTCTTCCTCAGGCCTCTTCTTKGGGAATTGTTGAGTCCCCCAGTTGTCCTTCAGGGCAAAAGCTGCTTGCATTTGTTAAGATGAACAATAAGTTATGAAACTTGATCAACTTCTCTAAGTTAAAATGCACGAKCTCTTCTTAGTCTGTTAAGATGTGCTGGTGCCTCTACCAAAGCTTTGCTATGCATTTCATAGCTTATGGCAAGGGTGGCCTTTCTCTTGAGATTTGAGAGTGGAAAACAGATCTCAGCTATGATGGAAAGGCAGAGACTAATCCCAATATTTAGAATACCTGTCAAAGTAAAAGTAAGTGAGAAAAGCCCCATTTGTAGTCACAGCACAGAGAGATTCAAATCAAACCTTGCTATTGGCGGAGACTTGTGGAAACCTTGGTAAGTWTAGTGGCTGGGCTGGCGAGACTGCCTTACGGGTGTAGTTAGGCAGGACCTATTGTGGAGAAGGCAGGAGCAGAAGGAATCTCCAAGCTGCAGGAACCAAGGTCCTCAGCCTGTTTGACTCTTCAGCACCGCTCGGCTTGTGTGGCTCATTTGGTTTTCCTTCTTTGCAGATGAGCACCGACTGCACAGTGGCAAGCTGTGTCTGATTATCCTGACATGCATAGCAGAGGTAGGTTTCCTGTGTGACACTTCAGCAGGTGCTCTCTCTGCAGGGCCCTGTCTATGTGGCTGTCCCCTGCTTCCTGTTGATGAGGAGCTGAATGTGATGAGTAACGAGGGCCCAAGGCAATTACGTTTTGCTGATGAGCCTGATGCAATGCTGTTAAAATTGGATTGAAACTTGAAAACTGAAGATCTTATTTGGTTTAGCCAAACAGGGACAAAGAAAACAGTTAAGAGCTGTTGAGAGACCTTGAGTTGTTATAGGCTTTTAGATGTGTAATTGTGCTAATGACTTTCAACTTTGTGCTGTTTGAGCAATCATGGGCAGTGCCATGTTCCATCTGTCCAAGAAAGACGTGTCTGAAATAAAGCTGTTTGACAGGTTRGTCCCTGCCAGCAAGAGAGCTACAAATCAGATGATGGGAAGGGAAATCAGGGAAATCAGTATCACAGGGCTGTGTCATTAGCCTTGGCTGGAAGCTGTCCTGTCTCATGTGTCTTCCTCATGTCTCATGGAAAGTGCATACGATGGTTTGACTGATATCCTGAGTGATGATTGAACCTGGGGGTGTGCACGTTCTGCTTGCTTGCAAGTAAAATTCTTTGATCCTTAATAAAGGACAAAAAGCAGAGAAGTTGAGAGCCAATGTAAGGATTAAGAAGTAATGTTTTTTTCACAGCGCGGTCTAAAAGCTGATCATCTGTGTTTCAAACATTTATAATTGGAACCTGAAGACTCCTGGCAGATGTGCAGATAGTGAAGGATAAGAAATGCTGCTGCTGCATAGCAAGGGTGTGGTTTGGCTATGATACTAAAGGGAYGATAACCTGGTTGGCGTTACCCAAATACCACTTTGATTTAGAGCTGCTCTTAGAATGATATTTGCCTGATGGGAGGAGTGACTGATTGACCCACTTAGTACCTGTGCTGCGGTAACTCCTGGCCTGATGGGGTCTGTCAAAATGCTGGTTTAAGCCTTTCTTCTTGCTTTGGCACAGATATGTGTGACACCTCGTGCATTATGCAGCACTTGCTGAAGTCTGGATGCTGTGGTATATGCAGTCCAGAGTTTGGATGGGCAAATAAGAGAAATGGAAAATTGCTAACAAAACAAAAAACCCTAGTAATGCTGACTTTAATTAAAGGAGACCTGGGGGAAGAAGGGATTGGTTTCCCTCACACCCACTTGAGGTCCAGGTAGGAAACAGAGGTGGGGACAGGTAGCTTTTTAACCTTTTAATGACTTGTCATTGAGAGCTTTGCACCAAAACACTTGTGATGCAAGAGACAAGTGACAGGTGATGGGCAGTTTGCTGACTCTCTGACTCTCTTCTCCCTTTCTTTTCCGTTTCAATAGGATCAGTACGCTAATGCTTTCTTGCATGATGACAACATGAATTTTCGAGTAAACCTACATAGGATGGTGAGTCTTTCTCCACGCATGCTTTGCTTTCTTTTCAGAATGAGCACATTGAGATTTTGAGTTCCTGTGTATTGAAAACTGTGCCACAGACACCTAACCTAGATTGCTAAGACGTGTGGAAATGCGATGATAAAAGCAGTACTGGGGGAATGATCTGAGATCACTCCCTGGATGACTTACACTTTCACAGAACAAAGAGCTTGTATCCATGCCAGCTAATTCGGAGGTCTGTGCTAATGATGATCCTTGAGAGAGGTCTGGCCAGTGTAGCTAGTGAGGAGCGGTGTAATGTGAGGTCTCTGAGGAAATCAGTGACAGGGAATGTTCTCCCTAACTTTCAGCAAACATTAGCCCTGGTGCCATATATTAATAGCTATCCAAGTTGCCCTGGTTGCTCAGATTCACCTTATGCTTTCTCCTGGGTGACTTGTTCACCTTCAAGGAGGGAAGTTTTTTTTTTTTCTGGTCTTCTCCCATGGGGTATCCCATGGAGAATCCCATGAGCCTTATCTGGCTCATGAAGCTCTTAGCTACATRCAAGTAGCTGAATGGTTATCCTGACCTGAGGTATTCTCCCTAGTGGTACTGTCAAGTTCCRCCTCAACCTACAGTAGAGTTATGTTTAGAATCATAAAAAAACCCAGACRGAATAAAACTGCTTGTCTTAAAGTGAATGTAACAGTGAAGGTTGTAGTCCTTCATGCTTTGCAGCAAACTCATCATTCAGATAGTGTTTGGTCTCATACAGTCAAGACCAAAAACACTTAATGCTGCATCTGCTATTAAGAATGYAAATCAGACTGCTGGATTGGGAGCACATCAGGAGGAATTGCTGTGTGATTTTGGGTCCTGGGATGTGGCAGTGCCCTCCAGTTACACAGAGGAACCCAAACCCAGCTGTCCTCACGCTGAAAAGCAGCTGCACTTTGCTCCAGCCATGGCTTTTCAGGGCTTATATAGGTGAGATAGCAATTAGCAAAAGATAAAGGCAAGTCTATGTTGATGGTATTTGCATGAAAAATAGACAGTAATATGCAGCATGTCACTTCAGACTTCTCCTGTCTTCTTTTAATCTTTGTTTGAAGCCAATGAGACACAGGAAGAAGGCAGCAGACAAGAACCTGCCCTGTCGCCCGCTGGTGTGTGCAGTGCTGGGTGAGTGCTGTGGGTGCCTGTTTGCTCCAGTTGCCAGCGCATCTTCTGTTATGCAACGGGAATAGGAGAGCTGTGCTATTAAGGGAAGGAGCAGATGGCCTTGGAAAGAGGGAGATTAGGTCCTGAGGAGGTTTCCAGCAGCGGACAGTCCATCCTTATATCTGACTGCCTTACAGAGAAATTAATTAGCAAGGTTCCTAATCTGTTACAGAGGAATCCTGTACGTTTGCAGGAAGCTTTGCCTCTGGGCCTTCTTTTGCCTGGATAAATAGCAACAGGGAAGAGCATTAATTAGTACAATAATTCTTTTAGGTGAGGGTAGTAATTCAGTCACAAACACTTTCTAGATGTTGTAACGGGGGCAGGATTTCAGAAAAGACAGGTATTTGAGGCAGGTGGTGTTGGCTAAAGAAGAATAGTAATGTCAGTAGCTGGGGTTGGTTTCACCTGTGCACGTTGGAAGCACAGCTGAAAGCTTTTCACTCAGTTTATGATTAAATTGTGAAATCCACTGCTGTGGAGGCTGAAAGCATAAATTAGTACAGAAGAGGATGGAGGCTGGATCCCTGGATGGCTGTTAAGTCTGGTGGTGCAGATGCAGTTTCTGACTCTGGCATTTTCAAGCAGATGATTTTGAAAGCTGGGATAGAACAGCCAGGGGAAGAATCCATCTAGAATTGCTAGATTTCTTACGTTCTTTACCATCTGTTTTTGGACACTATGGAGCCAACTTGCAGGGTTATTTGGACCCTAAGAAGTCACATTTTACAGTTGTTACCACAAACATGGGTTAAGCTATGTAAATGGGTCTACCTGGGTCTRCAAAACCTCTGCCAGTAAACCTCAGAATTGTATGTGGTTTCTGATGAAAATCACTTTCTAAAATGTACTTCTTAATGGAATTTTCCACTTCTGACAAGGCTTGAAATACAAGAGCAACGCTAAGCATCAGAGTAAGTGGTGTGTTCTTAATTTGATTAATAGTGATGGGAAAGCAGTGACTTAAAGCAAATTGCATTATATGCCCTCAGCTTCCAGTATAACATGTATGCTTTTCTTTTTTTAATTCCAGAAGATGTCTAATTCTTTCAAGGAATAAAAGGGTGGGGAAGAGAAAGATTTTTTTTATTTTTTTTCTTTTCTTAGCAGGGCTATTGTCTGGTTGGTTGGTAGGTTTGATTTCCTTATTGTTGTCTGCCAGAATGTAACTATAGCTGCCTCTTCACTTTGTCATTTTCTTTTCCGTCTTAGATTTGATGGTGGAGTTCATTGTAACACACATGATGAAAGAATTTCCGATGGATCTCTATGTGTAAGTGTCTGTGGGCTGACTCCTAGTTTCATTGGAAGTTTGATTTTTGAGTTCTGATTGTGTAACAGTCTTCTAGCTGAAATAATATTTTGTGGCTGATGGGGAGCTGGATGGCTTTTCATGGACTTTTCCAGCAGCTMTTTCTACTTTTAAAACAGACTGTGTGCCAGAAAATTGAAAGCAAAATGAATTTCCACCTTCCAGACTGACTTCCTAATCTGCTTGATCAAATACAAAGAACTTGGTCTGGAAAAAAAAATAATAATCCATGCTCATGTATCCCAGAAGCTGAGTCTTGCTCTGAAAACTGAAAAGCCAGTTTGGAAAAACTAAGTACCTCTGGCCTGAGGCCTGGAAGACTGAGTGGATAACGGGAGGGAGATTTCCTACAGGACTGTAGGCAGCAAGGGTAAAATCTAGCACCAAGGAAAGCAGGAGGAGGAGGATGAGGCCACATAGAGCACACCTTGTGTCCTACAGGGTCCTTAGGATGCTTTGTTTTCCTTCGGCATGGAGGGCAAAATTGGAATTTAAGCAGATCACTGGCTTTTCCCTGTTTGTACAGTTCTGAATTCCCCTCAAGGCTTAAGCATCACTACATTCAATAGAAGAGAGACAACCCATAGGCCGTTTTTCCTTAACGTAACTTTTCAGCATGGTCTGACATTGCCCAGTGCTTTTGCAAGGATTGTATTGTTCAATCGAAAATTTGTGGGAAATTACTTTTTAATGACAATTACAGAATTAGTTGTGGGTGCATCATGTATTGAAATTTCCCAAGAAAGATGTGAAATGCTTGGGCTCGAAGGTAAATCCCCATCTAGAATCCTCATGGGAATGAAATTAATGAGCAGTAGCAACCATCAGTGGACATTGATATCCATTCCCTTTGGCATGTGTATGCAGTTTCATTGCCTTCCTCTCTGAAAGAAACCCATAGCAAACATGGTTATTGCCATCACAGTGGGTGTCACCCCTCCCTGCAACACATCTAAAAGTGACAACCTGAGGCTGCTCAATGGAGGGCATATTTAATATTTACAAGAGAAATCCAAAAGTGGCTTTTGACTATGATGTGTATTGCGAATCCTCAATATAAAGCTGAAAAAACAACCCCAGGAATGCCCAGTGGTTGCAATTGCAATACCGGGGCTGTTAAAGGCTGCGGGGGTTTTGTTTGCTTTTTTTGGGGGAAGTTCTTCCATGCATTGCTTTCCCCAAGGAGTGCTATGCAACCAGTAGCTTTCCATTGAAAGAGAAATGCCAAGATACAGCTACACAGTATGTTGCGCTAAGGGCTATTATAATTTAAAATAAATGTTATAGTTTTTTCCAGATTCCTCCTGCTTTCTGCCTTAAATAGCTTTTCGCAGAGGCCAATTCTGGTCGTCACGCCAAGCAAATGTGTAGCTGGAAATGCGCTGAAGATCTTCCAGTACCAGGGACATCAGCAATAGTGACTCTCTCCTGAGAACATTTGTGGTTCCTGATCTGGAAGCAGCTCTCAGTTCTAGCCCAGCTAATTTTTTGTGGACTGAATTTGAGATTGAAAAGCTAGCACTCGAGGTGATGCTCAGCTGCAGTAAATGGTTTAACCAAAATCACTCTAAATTTGCCCTTTGCAGTCCTTGGTCCATCATGTGTTTGGGATTATTTAAGGCTCTGCTAAGATGAATGAATACCATGTGCGTATTATTCCTGAAATTTTTTGAAAGATTTATTATGAATCCTTTACCCCATTTTGRATAATTTGTGAACAAACATTTAAATTTGATTTCTATTTGGTTCTGTCCGTACTCTGTTTCAGTAGCGTCTTTTCTGAGATGTTTTTGTTAGTAATATAATGTGTTTTTAGGAAATAAGAAATTGAAAAAGGGGATTTTTCTTTTACGAAAATTTCCTTTTGTTTTTCTAAATGACCATAACTTTAAAGAGTTTGGTCTACAGAATTCATATTTGAATRTATTTCCTATCTTGTCTGCAATAAGAGCTAGCACTAGAAAAATTGCTCTGTGGCCTGTTTAGTTATTCATGAAAAATGTTTTTGCACCTAGGATTTTGTATAAACACTRGGTGTCATAAAGGCCTGCAGGATTTGGAGGCTTCCAAGCCTCCAATACAAGTGTATTAGCTGTGTGCTGGGGGATTTCAGAGTTTGCAGGTGTGTTGCTTAATCATTTCTAAGCTTATACTTAAACACTTTGGTTAAGGATCCTGAAAAGCTGGACTGAAATCCCCATCTCCCCCTGCAGATAGTTGAACTGCGGGCCCTTCTCAATGAAATTACATATCCTGCAGTTAGTTTCACTGYGTAACTTCCTTTAGCCTCATCGCCATGGCCAAAGAAATGGAGAAGCTCTGCCTTGACCATATTTTGTGAAGTCTGAGAGCCGTTTCTCRTATATACGGAGCTTGCAACTGAAGCTACTCATTTCATTGAGGCTTAGGGTCCTTGTGTAAGGTCAGCAAAGTGTGAAAAAATGTCAAACAAAATAAACTGTAAAAATCCAAGGATAGTACCCTTGCATCTGTGGTCTGTCCTGTCATGGTGAGTTTAAACTGCAATACAGGCTCCTGTCTCTGATCTTTCTCAAACTTGATTCTGGGTCTGATTCTTTGGGTACCCCTGCCATTTGGGAGCCSCGGGCAATGAGCCACGTCTTCCCATAGGGTTGGAATGTGTTTCCTGCAAGACACAGTTCTGCTGATTTCTGTAGGCATTTCCAGATCTGGTGGGGAATTTCTGGGAAAGATAGTGGTAGGCATTAATGCCGTGCCTCCTCCCTCCCTTTTTTTTTTCCTCCAGGCGGTGCATTCAGATTGTGCACAAGCTGCTGTGCTACCAGAAGAAATGCAGAGTGAGGCTTCATTACACCTGGAGGGAGCTCTGGTCAGGTATATTTTTATATTTGGAYCATCTCTGCTGATGCAAAGAGTGGCAGTCTGATAGTTCAGACCTTTTGTTCCATTGCGACATTGTTAAACAGTAAGCAGCAGGTCTGTTAAATCGTCTTTATTTTTTTCAGTTTTTGGTTGCTCCATGCAAATTACCTCTTTCTGAAAGCCAGGGCATTATCATAATGGGAGCTAATTTGCTTTCTTGTCTGGCCCTGATCACCATGGTATCCAAGTGTCTTTGTTTATCTGTTTCCCTACCTGAGTCCCTCTTGACTGACTGGAGAGGGAGACATTTTCTAGGCACAGAGTTTCTCCCCCAGGCACTTGGGAGTAGCCAGGAGACAGACTTTTACATAAAGGGAGGCAGACCCTCCTCTTCTTTCTTACKGTAGCGGGTGGATGTAGACAGACGGGTGCAGCCCCTTCTGAGCACAGCACTGCAGAAATGTCAGTGGGAAGGAAGAGAGTTTAGCTCTGACCTTAGCACTAATTGCACACAGTGCAGTTTACACCCCTGGTATCCCTAGAACAGTTAAATCTGATGGGGTTTGATTTATTTCTTATCTCATGCTGATAGCATTGCCCAAGTGTTTTATGGGCCTGTCCCTGTGTGGGAGGTCTGAGCAAGGAGGCAGCAGGATGATGAGACCTACCAGGCATCTTTCATGGGTTTGGTGTGTGCTTTTGTTCTAATCTTGCAAGCAGTGAAGTAGTTCAGCTAGGAAAGTACAGTTAATCCCTGAGCTGTTGTGGTTTAAACAAGGTTTATGAAAATTCAAGTGAGGCCCTAGCTGTTATGTTTCTAGAGCTCTGCTTAAGACCCCAAATCAGTGACTTTGTTGGTGTAAAGCAACTCCCACCAGAAATTTGAGAGCAAGGATGCCTGTTGAAAAAGGCTGTGATGAGTGCTTTCTGAAGCTGTTCTTAATTAACACCGAGTACTTCCCTTCAGTGGCTTTGCACGGCTGAGTGTAGGTACAGGGAAATGAACCAACAATCTGAATCAGTTTCAGTTATTAAATTTTTGGCTTTTTGTGACATGTGCCTCATTCAGCCTCTCTAAATTATTCCCGTAGAAGGTGAAGTGGGTGCCCCTAATTAAGAGATTAGCAAATTCTTTTCAGCTGCTTTCTTCAGAGCAGAGCCCCTRGAGGCACGGCTGCAGTGTAGCCCGGGCTCGGGAGGGGAGCGAGCAATGCAGAGGTCGCTTGTGAACGGGAATTGCAGCTGGCAGGTTGTGTGATCCCCTTTCAGCAGTCACGGCAGAACTGCTCGCATTCATATCTGGTCYAGGCAAGCTGGAGCTTCCCTCTGCAGTGGCAGTATGGAATTCCCAAATATAATGTTTTCTGCTGGAAGATGCTATTCCATAGTTCGCAGAGCATATTCTTAGACATCTTTGAATCCTTAACTTTACCTTTTTTTCTTTAAGTGGGATGGGAGGAGAGGGGGGGATTCCCCTGCACACTGMCATTTAGTTTCCTGAAATGTGCTAGTTAGCTATTTCTAATTAGCTGGTGTTTGTACAATGCTTAGGAAAGGTAAAGTGCCTTAGAAGTGTTAAGTGCTGCATGTGCTCTGAAAGCAAAGCTGTGAAGTAAAAAGCACACAGGTTGGTGGAGTTCCTGCAGAGGACCAGAAACATCTGCACACCTGATGCAGCTGAAGAGCTCCACGCTTGCTGTAGAGTTCGGCTTGTCTAGGGAGATCCTTTGAGGCAGAAGAAAGTCACAGTATGGCTGTTTTTTTTTCCAGTAGGATGTTGGGGTGAACAGAGACTCTCCGGCAGCTGTCAGGCTCCTTCATTCAGGCTGGAGAGGTCTTGTGTTGAACAGCATGTGCACCTGTAAAAGGGCACATCCTAGCAGCTCCAGGTGCGTGTTTCTAGAACGCTGTGAGCACYAGTCTGAAAGCCTGTCTGGATGCACAGTGTTTCCAGATCCCTGGGCAAAGCTGCTCTTTGATTCCACACAATTTTGCTGCCTTTGRAGCAAAAGGATGGCTATGTTTCTGGCAGACAACGCCAAACTGAATATGGGGACTTCTACAYCCATTTTGACCCTTTATAGGTCATTGTGAACATGTTTCTCCCTTGGGTTCTTGTATGGAGTGAAGAATTAGTTGTCACTGCCTGCTGAAGAGCTAAAAGGGAACTGCTGTTCACTGTGAGGCCCGAGATCTCTGGTGCCCTGTCAGGTGTGCTTTGCAAAAGGTCTTSAAGCCCACACTTGTCGTCTTGAGTGACAAAGTGTGTGATGGCTGAGGCAAAATGTCTCTTGTGCAGCATAGGTAATAGCAGTGGAGGCCCCCAAGCAGAGCCGAGTGGAATAAAGCACATGAAGGGAAATGGTGTGAGTGTTGAAAGGAAGGGAGGGGATTGTACCTGGCGTGTGAGGGGAGGAAGGCTGTTTCAGGCAAAATGTTGAGTGGGAGAATTTGCCAAAGGAAATGTTGTGGGGTGAGGAGGCAGGAGGGACAGGGTGCGGAGCAACAGAGATGCAGGTGGTAGGTGGAAGCAGCAGCAATGTATAGGGAGCCTTCTGTTCACTTGCTGAACAGCTAATGTTAGCTGCACTCTGATTAGGGAAAGCCACTGGTGTGTCATCTGATGGATAGATGCTCTTCCTTTGTGAGTGCTTTGTCTTCAGGGCAGAAGGCCAGCAGCAGTGCAAGGAAAAAAAAGTGCAATTTCTTTTTATAGCAGAAGTTACAAGATAAAGCTCTGTATATGGCAAGAAGTGCGTATAAGCCGGCTCTAGCTAGAGGTAGTCTGAAAATGTATTTCTGATCATTGGAGGAGTGAGAACCTGGAATGTCTTTAATAGAGCACTGGAGAGTAATAAAGCAACTGTAAGGCGGAATTTGATCAGCTTATGGAAATGATTACCAAGCAAATACTGCTGTGATAAATGGGTAAGACTCACATGCAGAAGATGCCTTCTAGTGTTGATGCCTGTTTAACAGAGCCCTTCAGTCCTCTTGGATGTGGTATGTGGCTCCATCCTGTGAGCTCTAATTTGTACATGTCTGTGTGGCACTGTCCTATTACTGGTGACCAGGCTGGCAATGTGGCTTAGCTCAAAGTCATAAGTGGATGTGACCATGTTTACCTAACCCCTTGCAGTCATTTTTGACTGTTTTGCAGATCTCCTGGGCTGTTACACCAGGTAGCTGTTACTTGCGAGGAAAAAAAAGAAAATATTGAAGGCAAAGTGCTAGCAGACCTGATAGGGTGACCATTTGGCAACATCCAGTTCCCTGTTCTCAGAAACACGTCCTGCTGCCTGACGTACCTGAAAACACCTTGTCCTCGTCCTAAGGGAGAGCTTTGGGTTTGAAGAGTTGAACAAATCGTTTGTGCAGCACTTGGGTGATGGGAAATGCTGTGTATGTTGTTGTCAAGCATGTATAAGCTATGCCAAAAGAGTTTTCGTGAGTCATTTAAGCTTTTTATATAAAAAGACCTAATTTCTTCAACTCCTCCCACCTCAAAATTAGTAATGCTCGAGCAATTTGCTCTGAGCTTAGGGGCTGCAGGTAACTTCTTTGCAGTTGCTATGGTTTGCTTTAAGGGAAAGCCACGTTTAAAGAAGGAGAAAAGCAATTCTAATATAGGCTTATAAAGGCGAGAGTACATCACTTAAAAATCATAAGTATATTTAATAATGGYGAAATAGCTATTTATTAGGGCAATTCAATGCAAAGGAGGATTAAAAAAAAATGAGCCTTGCCATTATACAGCACTGAAAATTAGTTTTCAAATTATGGTAAGGTAAAGGTACAATTTCATATCTTGTAGCCTAGTTAATTTGATAGATACTGAATGCTGTTAAAATAAGGTACTTTAAAAGTGTAGCATCACTGACAAGTCAATTTTTCTGCGTTTTAAAGATTTTTTTTCCCACTTGGATATCAAAGCAGGCATTTACAATGATACTGGACAAAATTGACTCCTCTGCTCTTTTGACAGTTAGAGTTTGTAATATGAGGATAATATTTTTGCAGGCTCTTTGGGTGAATACTGAAGAGGTGAAAGGTTCTCCTGTGCAATATATTAAAACAAATAAACAAGATTTTGTTTTACAAGACAATCTTTACAAAACGCTTCCTCTTATACAGTGCTTATTTAAGATAGCATCATTTATTCTCTTGTACTTTGGTTTGGTAGCTCTGTGGCCAAAATGCTAATTACTACTAGTGTGTTACTTACAGCATGGTTTGCTCTCCAGTTATTGATTAGCTCTCTGATTTATGTTCCTGAACAGATTTCAAAATCAGTTAATGCTGCATCACCCCTGCATCTCTGACCTTGCTGTCACTGTCACGTTTTCCAGCAGCTATCTAGCMACAGAAGCTGGTCTTCTTGCAGCTCCTGGGGAGCCAGAATTAATACACTGTGAACCAGGCAGCCTAATCTGCTGCCGCTGGCAGAGCACGAGGTGCCCTGAGAGTCCAAAAGGCTGTAGAAGCACTTGGACAGCTAGCAAATGACTTGGAGATTTTCAGGCAAGGATATGAAAAGATCTAAAATTTGCCCTTTTGCAGAATTTCTTACGTAGTTTTAAAAAGACTATTGGGACCCAAGATCCAACAACACTCTTCTGAATGCTGATGGAGTATTAAAAGAGTTCAGAGGAAGCAGTAATTTAACAGATGGCCCTCTCCAGCTGATGGTATCGATGAGAATGCTCTGGTAATTTCTGTGCAATTAGGAATTTAAGAATATAGTACCAAAGAAATGCTTTTAGGCTGTGAAGGGTGTTGGAAGCATAAGAGAAGGCCTTCTTCAGCACAGTACCTTCTGAAATAAAGAACAGAGATCATGTGTATAGTGTTTGTGTGTTGAGTATTAAGTGCTTTAATGCATTGGTCAGTACAAAGAAAATCTATCGCTATAGTAAGTGGTTCCACTTTCAAGTGTATCGTTTTTATGAAGAAGAAAACAAATCAGCAGGTGAGATTTGATCTTTCAAATACCTTCCAGCAAAACCACTTTC